ACACTCGCATTGAGTGTACAGACACAACTAGGAAAAAAGTAATGATTTAAATGTATTTAAAAAGAGATATTAATAAAACCTTTTTGCCAGATAATTTAGGTCTCAAATTATTATTTTGTATCTGGATTATGACCTAGGCACAATGCAGAGCTGAGCTTCACTGATGCTTGCAAATTTTAATAAATACAAGTAATAAAGTATTACAATTACACAATACTGGTCTGGGAGGTGTCCTGTTCAGAAGCTTGAATATCCTGGTTAATAGGAACATGGATACAGTATTTAAGAGAATTCAAGCATTTTTAAGGAATAAACAAAATTCACTGGTGTAACACCATTCACGTTGCATTGGTCAGGTTTATATGCCATGCTTCCTTTTTATCTTAATATCTAAGTTGGTGAGAGCTTTGAGGCATTGCGTCCCATATGATTTAAAAGCTCTTATTTGAGACTGACAGTCTAGCACTGTGTCCTTGATTTAAGAATCCTAAGTCCTAATATTGCTGAACTGAGTTTGTTGAACTGAATGGGATGACACTGCACTTATTTAATTACACAACAAACACATCTGTCTAAATTGAGCATTTTAATTTCACTGAGGTTTGGAGCAGATGCAGACATAAATAACTTCATAGCAGCAGAAAATAGGAGTAGTAAATATGAATACAGAAGAACCACAGCCATACGAACATATGTGCTCCTCTCCAAAATTACATATATTGTCATAAAAAATAAATTTGTGATTTCTTTTAAGGAGAGGTATCAATTGCAAACATTCAGGTATTTCCCTTACTCGTATCTTCATACTATCTATTCCTGACATCTAACTTGCATGTCAGGTAGCTGTGGGCAGAGCTTACATAAAAGCAAAGGAAGAAATATGAGATTTGCAAAACATAGTAGGGGATTTTTGTAGGGATTTTTTTTTCCCTTAAGTTTTACAATACATTGTGATGTGCCATTCAGATATCTGCTGGCAGTTATTTACCTTAAATCAAGCTGCTATGGGAATATTAACTTGTTAGTGCTATCGGCTAATATACTTAAGCAAAATCAGGTCTGCAAAGCAGCAGCTAGGGAGTTCAGCTAGTTACATCAGACAGCTCTAAATCAGCAATGTTCATCCCACTTCTTTCCACCGCATGCAGCTTCTTTTGGGCTGAGTATGATGAACTGGCAATGATGTGACACAGAGCTATGATTACAGATGGAGACACTGACTCAAAACAGATGGCTTCGATCTAAATCTGTACCAGTCGCCTGCTCAAGTATGTGGAACTTCTCATACTATAGCCTTCATTTTAATATCTGACAAAGATAATTACTTAAAAATAAATTATATTCATAAATAAGTTGTACTCCAGTGACAAAAAGGTGGATAAATCCTAGTTTTGGAAGTTTTTCACTTTGGGCAGCCTTAGGGATTTGCTCTAGCTTATACTGTGCTGCAACACACCCTATGGGGCCTAAGAATGGCCAGAGCTTGTCTTACTGTGACTTGTACATCTCTGATGTGCTCTTACATTTTTCCACTTAACTGCCACCAGGAAGTCTATATTTGACAGAACTGGAATATGAGTCGTAGGTGAGGCCCTTCATGCGTGTAGTAGCATTACAGCTTAAATTCTTTAGTAGCTAGAGTATAATATGATCTCTCAGCCACTCATAGCTGAACAGGTCTGATATTCCATCTACCTTGAAATATGAGAAAATATAGTGCACTTACTCACTTTATTCTTACCAAGGTAAACTACATCTTGGGAACATGATCCCAAACCTGTAACACCACCTTTCTGTGTCTGGTGCTGGAAACTTATTTAGTACGTGGTGTTAGCTTTCTGCAAAACATCTGAAAAAGTAACATAGAAGGCCAGCATGATGCAGGGATCCCTTTCTTATCCGAATAAATAAAATGGGGGATTTGAATAAAGGGTGCAAAAGGCCAGGAAAAGAAATACAACTACAAAAATTATCAATTGATGGTCATAAGTCAAACCACTGTAGACTATCAATCCCGAAAAATTAAAGCAATGACCTAAAAAACAAGCTCAGATCAAAGTTCATTAGATTAACGGAGATCCCTAAGGGCACTAATACAGAAGAATTAACATTATTTTGTTTCTCACTGGGTTTTTTTTCTTTTTTTGGATAATGTACAGAGTATAAACAACTTTGTTTTTTCTTGACTATGGGCAGTGGCACCTTCTATTCTGATCTCAGGAAAAATCACTGGATCAGTATCTGTGTTACTGAATTACAAAGGTTCATCACATCAGAAGGCTGAAGATGATTCTGTAAATGTGTGTAACTATTTCAGGGATCTGATTATTTTTACCTAGGTTACACCATTTGCAAATGATATGGTGGAAATTTTTCATGGCTAGATTGTATGTTTGAGGTCTGGATATCACATTTCGGCACCATAGCCCTAATGCCTACTTGTGACAGCAACATCTTACTTCAATCAAGAATGAAGAAAATCTCCATTATAGTACACCAGAAATACCTTGAAGAGTTTGCACCAAATATTTTACTTCTCTTAAGCTAAGATAAGCTAAACCAAGCTAAGCTATTTTTTGTTGCCTGCTACTATTATTATCTTTTACTTTTCATTTTTATGCACATGCTAAGTATGTTTCTATATGTGTATCATCAGTAGGATTATGCCAGATCACTTACTATTACCTACAATATGATCTAATAAAAATCTTAAACCATTATTACCTTTGTAGAGCCCACTGTGGCTAACTACTATACTTAATATTTTTTGGCTTTACAGCCTATTGCAAACTTTAGCTAATTAATAGCCTTCTAGGCTAGATAGTGGAACATCTTCCTTTTATTCCAGGGGAAGATCAAGGTATAGAGGTTTAAGACATCCTTTTCAAAAACATTAATTTTAGTTAATGGTGTCTTGTTGCCTCTCCTGTTGAGTGCTACTATGTGAACAAAAACTATACATAAATTGAATTATTGGTCCATCCCCTTTCCCTTTGTAAAGATTGCTTCTCCTAATGGGGTGGCTTTTGTGCTCATGCTCTAGATTTCCAGCAGGCCTCAACTTCATAGTATTTTTTAGAAAAAGGTTCATTGTTCTGTGGACTATAGGAATGGGCTTTTTTTTCTTTTTAAAGCCTCTAGTAGTTGATCTTCCACAATCTTCTGGGTTTTTTCCCCCCTTCAGTAAAAATACAATACACTTCATGTTCATAATACACCATTATGAAAAAACATGGCTGATACTTCTGAAGCAAGAACCTTAACAATGTCTGTCTAGATACAGTAGTGTAAGAGTGGTGTTGTAGCTGTGATGGTCCAGGAAGGATGCAAGAGGCAGGGATGTCTCTGGGTGATCTCTTTTCTTGGACCAACTCAGCAACTAGGAGAAAGTCAGACCAGCTTTCAAAGGCAAGAAGTTCTTCCTCAAGTCTCTACAGAGGCTTTACAAATGCAACACCTCTGAACTGACTTTCAACTCCCTGCTGTTCATCAAGCATGTGAAAGAACCCGTTGTGCGGTCAGCCGTTGCTTTCTTGCGTTGGATGCTTTCTTTGAGGGGCCTCTTTGTGCCACCGTGGTCATAAATTTATACACTGTGAAGGCTGGAAAGGACCTCAGGAGGTCATCTCGTCCAAGCCCCTGCTCAAAGCATGACTGTCCCCAGCTATCTCATCCCAGCCAAGGCTTTGTCTAGCTGGGTCTTAAAAACCTCTTGCTCAGGTTGACTTCAAGGGGGATTGTGCAGGTGAGGGAAGCATCCTTGTGTGGATATCTCTGGCAGAGGCGGTCCATCCTTTCCTTGTGAAGGGCTGAGCTTGCAGATCTTCCCTCTCCTGACACCCATCAGGTCTTGGGAGCCGTCTCATCCTTCCCGCCACCGTTGCAACGAGTGTTCCCCGGTCACGTTCTGCGCTCTCTCTATTGTGATTCCTCTCCCTTCTCTGCCACTAGCTCTGCTGCAGCATTGCCAGGTCTTAAATATGAAATTATTGTATTGCGAACTTAAAATGATCGTGTTTGCTGAAAAACTATCGTACACTGAAAGAACATGCTCGCTATGTCCGCTCCGCTCCGCTCCGCTCCAGGGCGGGACCCGCCTGCCAGGGCCACCCGCGTGCACGTGGGAGGCCGCCCCGGCCCCCCGTGCCCCGCAGCAGCGCATCCGCGGCAGCGACCGCGCTCCCGAGCATCGACAATAGCCCCGCGTCCTCCACGAAGCGCGCGGGCGGCGCGGACAACCAAGACCATCGTAAGCTACAGCGGGGCGGCACCAAGGGGGAGGGGGCGGGGCTCACCTGAGTGTTCGCGCGTGCGCACCATGGCCCCTCCCCTCCGCGCGCTTCCGGGTCACTGCGGCGGGTGAGGGGGCGGAGCTGCCGAGGCAGTTGCGGCCGTTGGAGCCATTGGGTGAGGCGGGCTGGGCACGGACGCGGACCCCCGCATGGGGGCGGCTCTCGCGCGCGTGGGGCCAGCGCCTACCCGCGCAGCATGAGGCTGCTGAGGAAGTAGGCGCTCGTTTCCCGGGACAAAGTCAACACGGGGAGGAGAAGGGGGAGACGGAGGGGCTGGGTTACAGAGCTTCCCCCTCCTCCAGTCGCCCATGATCGTGGCAGTGGTGCGCACCGAAATACATCCCCCTGTGCGGACCCGTGCTAAAACTTGGATCCTGCTCCACGTGGGCGAAGAGGTGGTTTGTCACAGTTATACTGCCATTACTAATTACTGAGCAGCAAAGTTACAGGGCAGCCGATTTGTGACTGGGGTGAAAAACTTTTTTTTTTTTTTTAATTAATTTTCCCTCACGAGACAAATTCTTTCCCAAAATGTAGACTTTAAATTAGTTCATGGAGATTACAAATCTAACACATGCACCTGGAATCAAGATGATTACTGGAGTTGTAGAAAGCTAAAAGATTGATCCATTGCATTTTGGGGTTTGGTTTTTTTTGCTCCCTCTCAAACTTGTTGCTATTTGCTGCAAGGAAGAGCTGTATATTAAATTAATGGCTCTCTAAACTTTCTGAGAGAGGTGACATTTACCAAGACCTCTTCTCGCTTTCAGATTTTAATCTTTATTAGAATTTCATTACTGGGACGCGTGAATACATTGGAGCCAGGACACATCAGGTGGCCCAAGCCTGCAGGATCCCTGCCGCCCCCAGGGCTGTAACAGGCCAGGTATTAAAAATAATGGAAATGTGGCAGGGCATACTATCACTCCCCCATATATTCCATGTACTATATGGTTTCCAGTGATTCCTACATCTGCCACAGTGTGCGTGGGGCAGTTCAGTAGGAATGGATGAATTTTCTGTTCACTGTGATCAATACGTGTCTTCCAATGGGACTTGGTTTGCAAATATTGAGTATTGATCAAGTATCTGACTCTGCTTATGATGGATAATCAGGTATTTAGGGACAGTTTGTTGTTTGTTGCCACCTTCCAATGAAGTAGAGTCTGCTTCTCCCCACCGCCCCCCGGGTGTATCAAGATTTAATGATAGCATGATTAGGTCTCATGATTTCTTTTGCATTGTGGAAGTGAAAAGAAGCCAAGTATAATTTCTCTTTTCAGGATGGATGGAACTCCTTTTTGTTTCTTTATTGACATGATTATTAAAAGTAGTTAATTAACTCAAACGTAACAGTATCAGCTGAATGCATTACATCGTGAATACATTTAGTAGTTTAAATGTTTAACTTCATTTAGTTGCTTTGTTGTAAGAGACATGATTAGGAACCAAACAGGTAGTATTTACAATTCTTGACGATGAAGATGTAAACTGTTCTTTTGTTGCCATAGATGTTCTATTCATGGGTGTATGAAAGAGATTCTGCTCCAAGTTAAATACTCTTGTTTCATAGTGGTTTGAAGGAGAGAGAGGATTTACTATAATTAAACAGAAAACTACAAAAATAATATTTCTCTCTCTTTTTCAGTAGGATTCTATAGCCATTCCAGGCTAGATTCATCATGATAACTCCAGCATTTGAACTTAGCCAAGATCCAGATTTTCTTACACTAACAATCAAAGTACCTTATGCCAGAATTTCTGAGTTTGATGTGTATTTTGATGGGGAGGATTTTAAATTTTATGCTAAACCTTACTTTCTCAGGTAAGTTACTGAGGGATTTTAAAATCATAAGCTTCATCAAATGAAAAATATTGAAAAGGGGGTGAGCCTTTTTCCTGGGTCTTGCAGAACATTCTAAAGCTCGAGCTCCTGTACAGTGATCTGCAGACTAAAATTATTGATAATGAGCTGGCTGGTCAGATGATGCTGTTAAATCACATTGAAATGACCTGAAGTATATGAAATGTTTTGCTAACGTTATTCTTCTGTGATGAATATTATCATTTGCGAGAGGGGAAAGTTTCTTTGTGCCTTCGCAAATCTCTCACGTACATTCTATACCAGTGTCAGTACTCAGAGGTTGCCCACGCTCCAAAAAAACTGAGAACCTTTGGTTTGCAATCATGAACTTTTTTATTTCCTGTGTGTTATGGAAACTTCAGTATCACATCAGTCGTCATATCTTGTACACATTTAACAGATGTAATGGCATGATGGCCATTCAAGCCATTGGGAGTCATGCATTAAAACTTTGTACTGCTTTTGGAATGGGCCTTATAGTTTTATGGGCTTATAAAGTGTTAGGTTAGAGAATGAATTCAATAAAATGTATTATTTTTGTCTGTAGACTGACTCTCCCTGGAAGAATTATTGAAGATGGAAGAGAAAAGGCATCTTACAATACTGACAAAGGTACTAGTTAATAGCATTGGTCTTTTCTTAAAATGCAGCACCAGGTCCCTACAAATTCTGCTACATTGCAGTTCCACAGAATGTGTAATCTGTTTACAGCAACAGCAAATGCATTAGGCTAGTTAAAAGGAACGTAAAGGTGGTTTCCATGTCCTGCCCCTGTCTGATGTTAGGAGCTACTCCTCCTGGTGTCCAGCTCTTGATGGACCTACCATGAGAAGTGATGATCCTCAATGGCAGAAGTTAATAAGCTGAAAACCAAATTCTTTCAAAATGAAGATCATAATCTTACTAATAAAGGTGTATCAGCATAATACAACATCTTCAAACATGATGGGAACTATGCAAGTCAGTGAACTAAGATCACAAGTTCATTCAGTCTACAAGGCACCTAAAAATTGATAAGTTGTAGTAGCTCAAAAGAGACAGCTGCCAAGACAGGTTTCTGGTTAGTTTGGAAGAGATGGCACACTGTCCCTGCTACTTTCCTTTAAAGAGATGCATTGTGGACACAAACCTTGAAAATTTGATTGCGCTTCTAATTAAAATTAAAACTGTATAAAGTAACACACATGTTTTGTTGGCTCTCAGATTAATATAGTATTTCATGTGGTATGAGAAGCTATTTTGAAGTGTCAGAGAATTATATATATGAGTAGTTTAAAATTCACAGAAGTGAAGGACATGTAATTGGATTGTTTGTAGGGTGTTGGGTATTTTCACTCTGATAGCAGCTTGACTTTGCATTGGTGTCTGGCTGATATGGATCTCAACTGCAGCGTCAAGACTTAACTTGTCAACTGTCCTGTACGAAAATAATCACTTAAGGTAAAGCCCCCCAAAATAGGTTTTGAAACCAGGACCTTAATAAATTAAGATGTAGTCTGCTGCCACCAAAACCTTGTTATTTCTACACTGACATAAAACGTGCAGCAGAACATTAAGTGGATTTTCCTTCAGTCTCAGATTTAATTACTTGTGAGGAGAAAAGACACCAAGTGAGAAGTAGATACCTGTCTGTTCATGTTATATGAGCTGTGTTGAGATGCTACTACAAGTGATAATTAGTGATGCAGTGTTTAAATTCTTTTTAAGAAACAACAGTTTAAGCCTTTGATTTTTTTTGTGGATTTTACACAGCAAGTTATCTCTAGAAAGATGCATAAAGATTAATACACAATAAAATATTAGTTGCATGCACCTATGTAGATAATCTATCAATATATTTATTTTTTAAATGAGAAATGCTTGAACATTTTACACACTATATCCTTTTTCACACATTAATTTTCTGAACTAAATTCTGACTTTTCTTTCAAGGAATATTTACAATTCAGTTACCAAAGGAGATTCCTGGCCAGTACTTTGAGGGGTTGGACATGCTAACAGCTCTCTTAGCCCCAAAGAAGGCAAGATCAGCAAAACCTTTAGTGGAAGAGATAGGTATGTGTAAAGACATTGGTAGATACCACATATTTAAATAGGTTAAACCTTAATGTGTTTGATATTTGTATATGTGTTTGTAAGTATAAATTTGTGTACAAAACAGCTTCTTACACCTGAAATGCCTAGTAAGCTTATAGGGTTTTTGGAAAGAATGTTACACAGGTTACATTTGTTTTCTTTTGAGATGTTTGTTAAACACACGCTAACCCTGTGTGGATCTTCGTTCCCCTCTAGTGGTTATATGGTGCAAAGAGGTTTAATCTACCTTTGCCTTCAAACTAATCTACCCAGTCTTCTAGCTCAAAAAGTAGCAGCTTGGTAAATCCAGAAGTTCCCTGGTTTAGTCCCCATAGATAACCTTTCTTAATGCATTATCACATATACAAGAATCCATGGTTAATTGTGTGAATATCTGTTGTCTTACCAAATTAGTTGCAATATTACTTTGTGTGTTTTTACCCCACTTTGTGGAATTTCGTTGAGCAAAATTGAATGCAGAATGACAGTGTTGGGACCAAGGTTTCACTCTGTATATAAAAAAGAAATATCTGATTTTCATTAGTTTCTCTTTTCATGGGGAGGAGAGTGTAGACAGGGATCTTAATTGGGCATAGAGCACCCATCTATGTGAAACATACCTTAATAATCAGTGAGCTACATTATTTACAAACAGAATTATCTGAAGATTTTAAAGCTATGTTCAGTCCAGTGTATATCACAATGCAATAATGCAGTATCTGTCATCAAAATGACAAAGGTTTGGAAAACTTAACATTCGGATGCCAAGTGCAGAAGATAACATTTCTCTAGAGGATAACCACTTGGATATCCAGAGGTGGCAATGCTCCTGCAAAACTCAACAAATTCTAAACCTGAGTAACAAATAATGGGCATGGAAACTAATGCAAACCATCATTTTTTCCAGTAGTCTCCTTTGCCTTTAGGGCTTTTGCTGGTCATCTGTGGATACTGTTTTAATTAGCCCTTAACCATGTCATGCTTTGCTTGGCACTGGTATATTTTCTTTTTGAGGGCCACCATGGTGAAATAGAATGGATTTAGAGCTAGGAGTCATTTGTATAGAGGTGCTGCCCTGAGTAATCCTTGAGGATTCCACATGTGTTCAACAGGATGAGGGATGTAGTAGAATCCTGCTGAGCCCTGCAAAGAAAAGTTATAGGTGATGCTGAAGAACAAAATAGATACCTTCTCTGGGAGCTCAAACATTGCAGAGCCATTAGTGTACAGGTATGTTAGCTGTTAAAAAATCAGACATCTTCAATGTATTGAGCCTGTTGTTTACTCGGGGCTAAAACCAAATTGGCTTGTATTAGGGAGACCTTAGAACCATAGATGTGGCTGAAGTTTACCTCACGTTTCTTATTATTTCTATTACAGCAGTATCCGAGGACCCCAATGGGATCAGACCTCACTATAATAGATGCTGTGCAAACACAGAAAACACCGGTCCCTGTCCCAATTAGAGCTGTTTTTTTATAATCTTCCTTCAAGGAAAGAACTGTCTGAAAGATGGTGATGACTGAAAAAGAGAAGTCCTTCCATCAGTAACCCTCAGGCTTCTCTTTAGTTACTATCTTGCATCCTCAAATTGGAGATGTTAGCACTTTTTTTTAAAGCCAAGTCCTGATCTTCACAGGCTTTCAGTAGCTTAGAAGGAAATGAATGTATTTTCCTTACAGATAGTTGGGCCAACTAGATCTGACTCGATATTTTCATGCCTGATATTTAGAAGAGGCAAGAATTCTTGTGGGTGTTATCTTTTATGGGACCAAGTGCATGATTTGGGATAGACATAGGCAAGCTTTCAGTATCACAGTACCCTTCCTTAACCCTCTGACCCTCAAACCTCTAACTACCACGCTTGGTATTAGATTGCATTCATCTATACCACTACTAATTTTTTCCCTTAGATAGTTGTATACCTTTGTTTTACAAATGGCTTTCATCCTCATCAGAGGCAAAGATTTTTGGGTAGTATCTTGTATTGGCGAGCTGTATAGTTGGGAAAGATCTTGGATAAACCTTTGGGTACAAAGTACCTTTCCCTCAAGTAACCATTTGTTGTTGTTTTTTTCTTTAAGTCAAGCCAGATACATGCCATTTTAGAGAAGAAAACAGTAACAGCAGCTAAGCTAAAGCAAAATTTTGCTATTCCTGGAATCCTAAATGTCTTTTACTAATCTTTCTTCTTCCTGTTTATTTTCTGGGAATTATTGGTTGTTCTGAAATATTTTCACATTGCTTGAATATGGTAAAAGGAAAATGCTTAATAGATTCATCTTTCCGTTAGCTATTAATGCAGTCACATTGTAACTTTATAATCCTTTTCCTTTTATGATATAAAATATTTGTAGGTAACTCTGCTGAGCTTGCTGATGAGCAAGAGGAGGAGGAGGAAGAAGAAGAACTTCACTGGGAAATTGAACAGACTCCGTACCAGGAGACTGTAGAAAGTACTTTGCATTTACAATGCTCCTATGGTTTTGGAAACTTAAAGTCAGGAGTGTTTCAGCGACTGCAGGTGTGTGATTTTTTTTTTTTTCTTTGAACGGGCTTAATGATTATGAGGTTTCTAAGATAGTTTGGTATAATCTAGCTTTCTGACATTTAAATTCAGTGCAAATATTACATTTTAAAGATTTGTCAAAAAATGAGGGCAAGCAGTGCTTTGAATGAACAATATGAAAATACAAAGATTTTGTCAAGTGTAAAATTAAATATAAAAATATTCTTTTGATTCTTTGTTATGCTTGTTTACTAAATTCCTTTTTCACGGTCACATCATGAATAATTTTCTCTTTGTATGTGTAAGTAGTTGGAAAATAGTGACTTTTTTTCATAGTTTCTAGGGTCGGAAGGGACCTGAGCAGATCATCTAATCCGATCCCCTGCCATGGCAGGAAGAGCACTGGGGTCAAATGACCCCAATAAGGTCATCCAACTTCCTCTTAAAAACCCCCAGGGTGGGAGCCTGCGCCACCTCACGTGGAAGCGGGTTCCAGACCCTAGCCGCCCTGACCGTGAAATAGCGCCTCCTGATGTCCAACTTAAACCTTCCCTCCGCCAGCTTGTGACCATTGTTCCTGGTCACTCCTTGCGGCGCTCGGGGGAACAGGGACTCCCCCAGCGCCTGCTGATCCCCCCCTAACCAGTTTATAACAGGCCACAAGATCCCCCCTCAGCCTTCTCTTTTGAAGGCTGAACAGGTTCAGGTCCCGCAACCTTTCCTCATAGGACCTACCCTGCTGTCCCTTGATCATACGAGTGGCCCTCCTCTGGACCCTCTCGATGCTGTCCACATCCCTCTTAAAGTGCGGCGCCCAGAACTGGACGCAGTACTCCAACTGCGGCCTGACCAGTGCTGCATAGAGGGGGCACTTTTTGGAGTGTGCAGTTTACTTGTTTTAGCTTGTGTTTGATTTTCTTATTAAGAATATTTGATTCCTTCTAACTTGCTGAGATTGACATTTTTTTAAGTATTCACATCCTCAGATGAAAAACCAGAAAAAAATTTCAACCACCAAATGTGAATAAAATCTAATTTTACCAGCAAATAGAAGAGCTTCAGGAATACTATAAAAACTAGTATAGCAGGGACTGCTTACAAAACTTTCCAGTCCCACCTTATCATATTTAGGGAACTTCAGCAGCACAGTACAAGTTTTACCTAGCAAAGCTTGTGGGTAATAAAATATTACCATAAGGTGCTTTTCTAGAAAATGTTTGTAGAATGTAGTATGCCACTAAGCTAATTTCTTGCTTTCCCTCTTCATCTCTGTAGCAAGAATTACAATTTAGTATGAATTCAAGTCTGTATTATAATGTTAAAGTAATCTCTCATTACACTCTTCTTTAACTTTTGTGCCTAGCAGAATTTGAATCTTCTAAAGTTTTCTGTTTGAACTTTTCAAGCAATGTAGTTTCTTGGCTATAGTTTTCCATTATGAAGAGGCAAGTCAGTTGATTTAGATTACTGGTTGGATACCAAGGAGACCTAGGTTCAGTTTCCTGCTCCACAAACTTCCTGTGTTTCTGTGGGCAAGCCACACTATTCTCTGAAAGAGAAATAATAGTGCAGCAGAACTCGGATCTTTCACATCCCAGAGGTTTGCAACCCATTTGATTCTCAGCAGGTTGCCGAATTAAGGCTGAGCTACTCAGCAGTTTGCTGTGGCTTTTACTTTAAAGGATACTACTTCTCTGATTAGTGGGGGTTCATCAGTGGTCCTGCAGAGCTGTTTGCCATAGCTCTGTGTCTCTCTAGATTGGCTGCAAACCTTCATCTTTGCAGGTGGATAAGGAACCTAACCAAACGCTGTACTTTTCTACCTGAAAATGAAGTGAGAACTGTAAAGCTATTTAAGTAACTAAAATACATAACTATATCTCTAAAATCAATGACGGTAAGATAGACAAGTAGGCTTTTTGCTGGCAGGTGTGATTTTTGTTATTCTCAGAGTTAGTACCAAATGCAGGCATCTTGATTGTCATTAAAATCAATATATGGAATTTGTATAAAAACTCAGAAGTGGATTTTGAGAAACCTAGTTTGTTATGGTGTATGTAGAGACTAGGGGTGTCAAAGATATGGCCCATAGGCTGCATCTAGCAATTACCCCCCCAGCCCTAGTGCTGCCCTGGGTTTCCTGTGTGGCGCATGCTGGCCCAGCCTTACAGAGGGCACAGGATGTGCACTGTATGCAGCACCTGATCCAGCCACTCTGGGATCTGTGATACTCCCCTAGCTAGCCAGGGATGCACACCACAGACAGTGCCTGCTCTAGTTGGTCTGGGAGCTGTGTTGCCCATGGCACCCACAGGCACTACAAGCATCATTGGTTCCAGTCTGGATGGAGTGGGTGCTGCATGCAGCACAGTTCCGGACCCGCGGTGGGGAGTGCCATGGGCGCCATGGATCCCAGAATGAATACTGCATATGGCACAGTCTGGCCTGAGCAAGCACCACACATTGCTCATGATGCCCTCTCCCAGGTAGTCTGGGGACCATGCTACTCCCAGCTCTCACCCCAGCTGGACTGCACTGCACATGGTGCCCATCTCAGCCAGTCTGGGAGGCCATGCTGCATGCCTGTTTGAGCCAGGCCAGGACCTGCACTGCATGCAGTGTGTGTCCTAGACCAGGTGGAGTGGGTATCATGTGTAGCGCACATCCCAGAGTGACGGGAACAGATAATGTGTATGGTGAATCCGGCATGAAAGGGAAAGAGGTCTGTGGAGCCAGATGAGTTTGACACGCCTGATAGAGACTATGGAAAAAGATCCAGATAATGCAGGTTACTATAGCTGTGTTACCAGTTATTTACTGCCTCATTATATCCATGTATGTTAGATCTTCACAATAGCCTGATTATAGATTAAAACTATTTTGTTGTCTCAGATTGACCTGTACTGAAAGGACACTGTTTAACTAATCTTGCCTGTGATTAAAAATAACCGAAACACAATTTCGCTTTCTATTAGTGCCTGCTAGAAACTGTTGCTAATTTAAGTTCTGCGCCTCCAGGTTGTCCAGCATGGATAGACTCCATGGAAGTCAGTAGAACTCTGTTCTGGCACTGAAATTTGCCTTTGTGGAATAACTTGCATTGGAACCTTAAATTGCAGGCTTAACTTGCATTGCTTGTGTGCTGATATCAAATGATTTATTTATTTTTAGGCCACTTGGAATAAGCTGAATATGTACAACCTATAGAGAATAAGAGTTACGTAAAGATATAATTAGAATGTACTGCTTTTATCAGGATAATAGTAGGCAATTTACAGAGTAATATTCTGTTTATTTACATATCAAGAGGTAGGAATACTTGTTGTTTCAAATGCTTCTAATTGTAAAGATGGGGCAATGTAATTTGGTTACTGCATGAATTATATTTTCTTGTGTAGGCTAAGAGAGGAGTACTGTCATAGGGAAGGCTTTCATATTTTAATAGTACATTTATTAATTGGTCTGTTACCATGGAATTCTTGTAGAAGTGCATATCAAACCCAGATTAGTGTTCCATTATTTCATGATGGATATCATTACTCTGTAATTCCAAATTAACTAATGATTGGTCACTTCAAAGTGGTAACCATGTCAATTTGTGCATAAATGCTGAGCTGCAATGTATGAAAGTCAGTGGAAGCAGAAATGCTTAACTATTCGTAGGATTGGTCCCTCAGCTTCCAGAAAGTATAATGCATGTGTTTTATCTATACCCTTGTTACAGTGACTTGTTTCATTAAGCATTAGAAGTTTGATGCATCAATGAAAAAAATATGCCTTTTGTTTTATAACCCAAATATTTATAATGTTTAAAAGTCCTAAGATATTTGGCCATTATTTATTAAGCAGTGTGATCTGTACTTGAAAGATGATCAGAGTTGGTTGAAGCAAATCTAATTAGAATAGTTAAATTAATTTATTCATTTCACTAATACTTCAACATGGAGTCAGCATCAGATATTACAAATCAAAAAGCAACAGAGTTACAAAATTCTTAGGGAGCACCATTGGAGACTAGACAAAGACTATTTTCTCATTGTATGCTAATAGCATAGAAAATATTAACATCATGTTAATTATGCATATATCACTAAATATTCAGTGGAAGCTGAAGGCACTGTATTATGTCACATAATGCCTAGCTTTTTTGGGAAGGGAGACTTGGTAACATTATCTGTCATTAACTGCAGTCCTTTTGTGAATGCCTGTTTGCCATTCTTCCTACATGTTCATTTTTAATGAAGTAACCTACTGTGGCATCTTTGTGACTTGGTTTGCTTATTCTTTATGTTCTTATTGCCTTTCCAGGATGAACTTAGTGATGTTATTGACTTGAAGCATCCAGACTCAACTCCTGTCAAAGAACGCAGGCAGAAGCGACTGGCAGCTGAGGCTGCCAAGTTTGATCCTGATCATTACCTGTAAGTACTAATTTATTCCTCCTGACCAAGTGAATGTACATCAGTTGAAATATTTTCGTTTTGACATTTAACAGATGATGGATTTTAAGGTCTCTTTTGACTATAATAAGTATACTTTAATATGCTTGACTCTTTGTCTCATATCTCTAGACCTCAGAGAATAATCGTAAGTGTGAATGTGATACAAGGCATTGCTTATCTGCTTCAGGCTTGCCTTACTGCTCAATTAAACTCAAAGGCCAGCCTGTACTCAAGCAGAGCTGCTGCAAACTGTGCAGAATGTTGTTTCATAGTTGACCTCTCCAGCAGCAGGGTAGTCAATCCCTGCCAGCATTTTGGGGTTGTAGACATTGTAGCTTTGTTTTCTCTTGAGTAATGATGGCAATCGACCCACCTGGTCCATGAGCAGGTATTTGTTTTTAGGTGATTTCCAGTCGTTTTTCCTCACATTTCTGTAGAATCACAAAATCATAGATAAGAAGTGGAAGGTACCTCTGAAACAGGGGCTCCCAAACTCTGGTGCATGTACCCCTGGGAGTATGCAAGACATCTCTGGGAGGTGTGTGGGAGAAATTGTATAATGGCAGATTTCATTTTCACTATAATAAGAATTGGCATGTAAGTGGTTAAAATATAAAATGTATGCTGGTACCCAGGCAGCTGATAAATCTGGAAGGGGATACACAATAAGAAAAGGTTTGGGTACCTCTGCTCTAGAGGTCATCTAGTTCAGCCCTTTACCAGAGGCAGGATCATCCCTTTCCAAACCATCCTGTACAAATCTGTTGTTAAACCTATTAATCAAACTACACAGTCAATCCTGGCACAACCGTAAGACATAACACCCTAACCTGCCACAGGTGAACTGGAGGGACAATGGTGGCTAATGTCTTTGCTATGCGGGTTGTTAAAAACATGGGTGGTCCAAGGAAGAGGGAAAACCCCGCACTACAGAGGTGTGTACCAATCTGACTGTGGGGTTAAATTTCTTCCAGAATCCAAATATGGTGATTGGCCTGGCCCTGAAGAGAGGGAAAATACCCTTTTGCCAGAACCTCCAGGTTTAATTCACAACAGGAGTATTGGTACACCTCAGTCAAAATAGCCAGTGCCCAATGAAATCACGTAACTTATCTTCAGGCCATTTTTATTTCTAGTCATAAACTGTTCCCTCCTATCCTGTTTTCCTTCTTGAGTTGCTTGCTCAGGAATAAGCAGAAAATTTGCAAAGACTGGACTTTCAAGCAAAATTCTATATGTTCTATTATCAGACTGTTTCCTCCCACTTAAGGCAGAAAAAAATGATCTTTCATGGAGTCTTCCCTTTCATATCAAAGAAGGGAGAAAAATTAACTGATAGGCAGACAGCATAGGTGTCAGAAAGAACTGTTGAAGCACTCCCTTACAATAACACTCCCTTGCTTTTTCACGTATAGACCTCACTTATCTCATTTGTTTGTGGCAGAGTAATGGTCTGTTGTAGGAGGAAATCATCTCGATTTTTGGTTTCTAGAATGTTTGAAACAGGAATTACAGGAAGCTTTCTTTGTTTTGAAATCTTGTGTATGCAATATGTGGGGTTTTTTCTTTCTCTTTTAGAGCATATATCCAAACAATAGTGTGTAGGACTTTTGCCCTTCCCTGTACCTCAGCCCACTTGGAAATCTCTGAAGTTATTTGTCTTGGCTAAAGAGTTTTTTCTACTTTTCCAGGAAGAAGCACTCCAGTTTTTACCTTTTTTCGGGGGGGTAGTGGTGTCATAATTGTCCTCATAGATTGTAGAGCTGACCATCCATCTCCCCTCCCTCTGCATCTAACTGACAGAACAAGGAGCAATGGTTTCAGTTGCAGCAAGGGAAGTTGAAGTTCGATATTAGGACAAATTTTCTCACTAGGAGGGTAGTAAAACACTAGAACAGGTTACCCAGGGAGGTTGTGGAACCTCCATCCTTGAAAGTTTTTAAGATCCAGTTTGACAAAGCCTTGGGTGGGATGAGATGGTTGAAGCTGGTTCTGCTTTGAGCAGGGGGTTGGACTAGACGACCTCTTGAGGTCCCTTCAAACCTTCATTTTCTATGGTTCTATGAATGGGAGCAATGTTAGCAATTCTACTTTTTTCCTTCCTGGTTAGTCATAACTGGCTATTGGTTTCTTGGTGGAATTTAAGGAGTTTAGGTTGACCTATAAAGTCCTAGGTTATGCTTACTGGCTCTAGCCAAGGTTGTACAAAGATACCAAGCAAGCTTTGAGACTGGAAGGATTGTAGCCATGCTAGTTCAGTCCTGTACCTAGGCTCCTATACTCTGTGTTTCAGCAAACCTACTTAGCCCAGGTCTAGTGTTGTGTTAATGTGCCAGTATTGGTCCCATTTCAGTGTTCGTGCATGTGGAGCTAGTCTAGGTATCTCTACATGGCACTGCACAGTGATCCAGAGAGACAGCCTAAATGGCTTTGTTGGCTACTTGCAAATCTGTCTCTCTGTGTAAAACTGCTACTGCTGTAGTTAGCAAAGGTGCTTATGCTGAAGAATATTGCTTTAAAAGGGAGTTTAAAGCTGGTATGACATTTGCTGTGACATCTCATGCAGCAGCCCAGATTTGTTGACCTAAAGGAAGGCTTCAGTGTCCAACAGTTTCCAGGCTTTGGGGATTCTGTATGGTAAAATAGGGTTGTTGTTTGGATTTTCATGTGATATTTGGTTAAAAAATTTCCATTTTTAGGGCAGAGATTTGGGTCAGGTTTGTTTTTAAAGCAGCTGTATTTCTGATGTGTTCAAGTCAGGTGCCCTCTCTCTCTAAATTGTCATAAATGGCATGTGACTCTTCTTTTCCAGTGCTGACTTTTTTGAAGATGAAGCTATTCAGTTTGTTTTGAAGTACAAGCCGTGGTGGGTTGATGCCTATAAGAAAAAGATGGCTTCCCAAGAAGGGAGTTATCAGGAACTGGAGAGTCGAACAACTTTTGGTAAGAATGTCCAATGTGCAGTCATGGTTTTTATTGTGACTGTTCCGCATTTTGTCACGTTGCTGTCATCAAGTTGAAAAATCCTATTCTTACCTAACAATTTTCAATCATGTCCAGTAATATTAATGCCTTTTGTAGAGAGGGCTGATTCCACACCATATCTTGTCTTTGTTCATTGAAAGAATATGTATATAATGGGAGTGGTTTAGGAGGAATGTGTGTCTGTTTGGAGCAGTTTGTAAGACGGGATAAACTGGTTATTTCTGCTGCAGCATTTATATGTAACTTCTGTTTTATGAAATACTGTATTCAAGCTTGGTGCTTCTTCACAACAACTGTAGTGTTAGCTCTCTGGGTCATCTTTTTTCCTTAAAGGTTATATTGGACACATCAGAGACCTGTGAAATTGTTCCCTTTAAAGACTATACTATGTTTTTTAAAGATGTGACAACCCTCCAGTGAGTCACCAACTCACAAAATGTAAATGCAAATTTAAAATGTTTTTGCTTGGCTATTATAGTAGCTAGAAGGTTGGAGACATCCGTGAGCTACTAGTGTATCTCTTGTTTCTCTCTTCAAATTTTTCAAGTGATTTTTTTTTTTTTTTTTTCCTTATACAAGACAGGTTTCTTCTCCTGAAAATACAACAGTAATGGATTTTTATATCCACTTATAAATATGATGCGGCTGCATTACTGTAAGAGTCATTGTTCAGAATCATTTGAATAAGTCTTTTCTAATATTAGCTAGGTTTTCTGTCTGAGATGTCTGTAATTTTTAGGAATTTGTTACTATTTTTATATAGTATTTAACTATACATTGCACTTGCTATTCCACAGATAATGTCCTAGGGGCTTATTCCCTTCAAAAGAAAATCATTTCCATTTCTTGCTTAGAAACTAAAAGGTGTTTTTGAGCTTCAGTAGATGAATTTGTTGTAATACTGCTTGCAAGGTGAGGTTACTACTTCTGCATATAGTGGTTACAGAATGTACTCTAGGTGACTGTTATGCAGGTTCTGTGATTGTCCTATCAAACAGCTTGCTCATTTCCTAGATAATTTAGGAGCATAGCATTTTCCACACTAGATGATAATTGGTGTTCGCAGTTCACTTAGCCAAATGTTGCCACGATTAGCTATATTATAGAAAATAATAAATATGAAAAGCAGCGGAATATAAAATAAGTAGTTTTATTGCAGGTTATAGTTTTAAAGAAAACTTACAGACTTCATGGATACTAGCACATGCAAGCTACTCGGGTATTACAAATTTGAGTGCCTTTATTAGGAGAATTATGCAGAGAATTGAACTATACAAAATGATTGTCCTTTTTACCTTCCCCTCCCTCCCAAGCTCCCCTCTCCTCCCTCATTATCATGAAGAAATTTTCATTTTGTAAGTGTAATCAAGAGCTCTTAGTCTGTTGGCCTGCATGTGGCTGAACTGAAGAAGCTCATGGAGTTTTGTCAATCTGTAGTAAATTTTAAATGTCTTGAGACGGTCTTGTTTGAGTTACGTAATAAAAGTAATCAAAAACTTTTCTGTCGTCTCACATTTGGAAAAAATAGTTGTTCTCGGATATGTCGGCTAGAGTTGACAGGGAGCTGAGTAAGGGTCTAAAGCTAGTCAAGATTGTTGAACCCTAATTTAGCTGTGGTAAAAGAAATCGCCATGAGAGGGAGTGCAGGTTCCATCTGACGGTCTGTCGTAAATGCAAAACAGGGCAGGAAGCCTCAAGGGTACACAAAGTATGTCCATGCTGTGGATCAACAATTACACAATGAGATATCTGATGAGTTCCCTATGCTTGGAAAAAGTATAAAAGCAATAAAATCAGTCATGCCAATTTGAGTTACAGTTAGATTCTGAGGTGACAGTTAAGTTACAGAGTTGCTTTACTTCTCAGTTTTTACAAGGTAAATGCAAACTGCCCCTTGTGCGATGTATACCGGAAAAGAACTAGTGCTGCAGGTTATTGTCAGAGCAGAGGTAGCATGGAAGGGGAACATGTAGGAACTGTATGAGTATGTTATGATAAGTGAAATATCTATCTTACTGCCTGACAGAGGTTGTTTCATTTCTGGTAAGACCTAAAGAAAAATCTTACTCTAATGGGCAAAAGTGCACTATATGCCTAAACCAGTTAAAGGACTGTCACTGACTCATGGCCTTTAGAGCATGCCACATCAACAAGCCTAAGAAGGTTTGGCCAATGCTCAACTCCAAGAAGTCAAAGTACAGGTATAGGAGATCTACAGGTACAAACTATATATATTTCAATAACTTTTACAAATCTAGTTAGATGATGCCCATTTCAGTATAAAGCCATGGTGCCTCGTAGGGTATGTTTCAGTGAGGATTTCATGATAGGGTATACATGAGATTGGACTTTTTTTTTTTTTAAATAGCAATGTCTGTAGCATGCACCATTTACCTCCTTGGGTTCTTATGCAAGGGCATAAGAAATTTTAGCCTCTGACAACAAATACCTCAATTTCTCCTCCTTCTGAGTTCTAAACATATATTTCTTTCAAACTGTTTGATGAAGAAAATGTATTTATCATCCTTACTGAATAAAGAAAAAGTCCACTCTACCCCAACAACATTCGTGTATATGTTGGGCATAGCTGTTGCATGCTTACAGCCATGGCAGACTCTAATCTTCTGGGTTTAAACACTTCCCAGTCTGTTATAGACTTCCCCTGGTGAGCATATTTAAGCAACACCTGTTCTGTTTGGGGAGAAGTTGCATCCCTGCTGAGTGTGGTGTGCAAACCCATTCCCTCAAGGACTTGTATGTTTAGGGATGTGTGATAGAAATGACTCCTAACTGAGCAGTTTGTGCATGCCACTTCAGCTGAGGACTTCCAAACAGTGAAAAGGATTGTTTTCAATGAGTACTACCTCCAGAAAAGACCAGACCCTGGACTTGAAGCAGCAATGGAAAAGCAGAGGAAATGCTGTCAATTGGCAACAGCCAGGGTCAGTTCTGGGGGGTATGTAGTGGTGCAGAGGCAGCCCTCTTTCCATCAACTACTCCACAGGAGAGCAGCCAGGGACTTTTTTTTTTTTTTTAAGTCCCTGAAGCAAGCAAGCAAGGATTTGCCCGGCCTTCCCCTCCATGCACAGCAGCACCTCTGCTTCTGTCCCCTCCCCACTCCCCTGCTCACTGCTGCTAGTCTCCAGCTGCCCTAGGAACAGGAGGGCAGGAGCTCCAGAGCCGTTTCTGCCTGCTCCAGTCATGCTTCAGGCAGAACTAGGCTCAGCCAGGGACAGCAGCAGCAGCAGCGGGTGGGTCCTTGCTCCTTGTCCAGATCCCTCCAGCATTTCCTACCAGCCGAGGAGCAGGCAAGGGAGAAAGGAACCCAGCTGCTACTGCTGCTGCGTCTCTAGCCAAACATGGCTCCGTGCGCAGCTCAGCTTCAGTGGAGCACCTCTGGAGCCTCATCCCCTTGCCCCAACCTGACCCAGGTCAGCTGAAGACAGCAGCGGTGGGCAGGGGTGGAGAGAAAGGGAGGGGACTTGCCACTGTTCATGGAGGGGAAAGGAGTGGAGATTCTTACCTACTTGAGGGACTAAAAGAGTCCCCTGATGCTGCTTCTGCAGGGTGGCCTGCCCATCCTGGTGTGTGTTGGGGGGAGACTGGGATCTGGGGTGCAGCCACCTTTGTAGCACAAGTCACTTCTGCACTGATGTTTTGAAAACCCTGGGTCTGCCCATGGCAGCAGCCATGTTAATGCAGGCAGCCTTGGCAGAGTGGTCATTTGCACTAGCACCTATTAGGTTGTGCCTCTAGATTTCCTGTACTTTGTAGTCTTTGACCTCTTGTAGGCAGGCATTGGCCTTACTGCCAGTGGGGGTTGAGCACCTTGGTGCCAATCACAACACTAGTGCCAGGGTCAGTGTCAACACCATCAGTGGATTTGACATCAGTGCCACGGTGAGACTGAAAAGCATGGTCAAACAGAATATAGGTATGGTTCTGAAGATTAGGAGGTTTTCTGGAAGGAGAGGCAATGTTGTCTTCAAAAGAGAAGGCGATAAAGTCCTCCATCACATTAGGAAGAAACCATGACAAAAAATCTCTTGGGTCCACAACTGTGCTGGTTGTAGACCCAAGAGTTACCCTCATTGAACTAGTTCTGTCTCCTCTGGGGACATCTTTGGCACGTGGCCAACACATGGCGTTTGTGCTAGGCCAAGTGCAACTAACGGTTGGGCACATCATTCAAGGAATGCTTATGTATTCTCCAGGTCATCTCTTCTCTCCAGTATGGAGCAGAAATGCCTCTCCTTTATCATGTGAAAGCAGCTCCAGAACCGGTCCCGGTGATTTCTCTCACATGATGGGCTGACCAGACTAGTGCCCATCAAGTATGCCACCCTGCCCATAGTGTCCCTACAGAGGTCATCAACCCAAGTGTCTCATAGTACATGATGTCCATTATTATACCATTAGTTTACTGTACTGTTTTACTCCGTCTAACTGTGGGGTTCTTTAGGTCATCTCAAAAGAAAGTAAGCAGTGTTACCAGTGTTGTGTTACCAGTTGTCTGAGGTGCATCTCCCTGCAAATCTGGAGTCTCTCTACTAGCAATTTTGCTAACACATGGCCATATTGAAGATCTGCCAAGTGGAGAGAGAGAATAACTCATTGATCTTTGTCAAGCACTGTGTCTTGGTTTAACAGCTAGGTCAGATACCAAGTCTGGAAAAGCAGTACTGCAATCACTCTTTGACTGAAGGTGAAATTCACTCCCATGATCCTGAGATGCTGCTTACCAATCACCAGTGGTAGGACTCACAAAGACGTGAAGAAGGAAGAGAAGTTATTCAGCAGTAACTGGTTCTTCAGGATATTGCAGTGTGTCAATCCCATAGCTGGCCTCCATCCCCTCTTTGTAGAGTCCCTAGGTACCACTATCTGAATTCCAAGGGAACTGAGAGAGAATTGGAACTGCTGCAGCCTCCCACAAGAGCACATAAAAAGCATATGGT